TGAATAATAATGGTTATTCTCATAAACAACAATCCACTACAAGTGTTAGGCAACTATCTCACCCCATTGAGATAGAAGAACCTCTAATATTCTACGGCAGCTCTTGAAGGCAATTTACGTCTGTCACACCCAAACCATACAAGAGATGAAACCATATTTTTCTCAACAACCACAATCTTAACTAAGCATAATATCCATAAAAACTCAAGTATCACAATTTCAAAATTCTCAATATAGTATAGTAATAAAGGAATTAAAATATGCAAGAGATCATATCAAAAAAATCTTCATAATTGTGATATCAAAATTCTAAGGTTTAGTCCAAAAATTACAATTTGTTGGAACAAAAATAAGTATTTGATTGAAACATAATTTAATCAGGAATAGGAATTTAGAAAATAAGGATCCATGTATTTTTTCATATTAAAACATGTAGTTGGTGAAACTTGGGTTTTGCAAACCAAGAACAATAATTTCTTGAATATCAATCATGTATTCTATTCAAAACAACAACGTCCAAATTGGAAAGAAACCAAGAAATCATAATTATTTATCATATAACTATTAAGAAGATTTAAAACATACATATATATACCCTAACTCTCAATCAAAGAACTCAAGAAAAATCTCCTACTTTGATTTCGTAGTTTGTGTGTAAACCTAGCATGTTTGATCCATTCATGAGAAACCCCCTTTCAATCTTGTGTTTTTCTTCTTCTCTCTTGCTCTCTAAGTTTCTATAGGATTAAGAACTGATGAAATAGAGTTAAAGGAGGCATCCTTAGGTATTTATAGGATGAGAAAATAGTTTAGTCGACGCTGACTTGATATTTAAAATCACGACAGTGCGTTTGAACAAGAAGTTTGATGTTTGAACGATTTATAGGGCATTCGAATGGAGTATTGGGTGTTCAAACAAGGTTTGCTGCCAATATATTTAGTTTTTGTTAGATACCAAAGTACTGGAGCTAACTGACATTCAAACAGACTCCAGTTTTTACATGAACTTCCAAGGAAGTTTTGGCCTAGTTAGAGATAGATTTATGAAATTTTCATGAAATACATTGTTGTATCCCTCAAAGTCTAGTGTCTATTGTAAAAATTGAAGATCAATCGGACATTAGGATAGAAAGGTATGGTCCAAATACTAAGGTAATGTCAAATTTTATTATACCCAAATTTTTCCAAAAATACATTTCAACTCCAGAATACTTTCAAACTTTCAATATACTCCATATTACATTTCCTAAGGTTTCTCAAGCTTCTAGATTCAATGGAAGTCTTATCTTGATCTAAAAACATTTACAAAATTACTTAACCACCATTATCAAGTTTAAACGCCTGCGAAACTAAATTTGACCCGAAAGATGATTCGCATGAAATTCAAACTTCATGATCAATCTTTCAACATTGATTTGGAGTTTCTATTATAATTCTAGGAGTACTATTAATTTCATGTTATCTACCTTTAAATTTTATACAGGGTCTTACAAGCATTGTTACTATCTCAGGATAGTAATAGTAACGTTGTCAACGTCCTAGGAAGTACTATATACATACATATATATATATGTGTGTGTGTGTGTGTGTACACAAAATTAAGTAGATTTGATTTTTTTTGAATTTTTAATTGTGTATTTGAAATAGATTAGGGTATTTTTGTCTTTACACAAGTACTTGTCATTAAAATCCCAATAAGATTGCGCCTGGACTTTGTCTCTAAAAAAACATAACAGTGGACCCAATTACAAAACACCCATTTTTCAATATTTTGGCTTAGATTTTTAATGTTTGGGTTGGATTTGGGCAAAAAAATTCTAACCTGAATTGAATTTGAGAAATATTCTGATTAGAACTGCGGATTGACGCGTTCAGAACCCGTCCAAATTTATGAATTTGGGTTCAACCTAAAATTTGAAAAAACAAATTAAAAATTACAAACAAACACACACACACACACATAATGTTAGGGCATTCGCGCCGCACTCCTTATCCATGTTATTGATGTTTGAAGCCTATTACAGATGTGTAATTTATTTCTTATTTTTTTTAATTAGTTTATTCAATTTGAGTTTTGATTAATAAAAAATTCAATTTCAACTCAAGTTTAAACCCAAGATCAACCCGAATTTAAAAATTCAATCATTGTTGGGCTCGCGTTGTAGTTACTCAGGTTGAGCTTGAGTTGGGTTGGGTTCGAGCTGAACGTTTCATATCTTGAGTTGAACTTTGTTAATCCCTCACTTGCCTAGCCACTCGAATTACACCGTTACTCTTACTTAGTCATTTATATTTTTGCTCTTAAAGTATTATATTTTCTTACACTATACTTTTAACTTTTAACTATGATTGTTGGTTTTACAGTGTCCAATAATATAAATTACAGTCATGTAGCATAATTGGAGATTTTCCTTTTAAACCATGATGAACCTTTTGTTTTTAGAGATGTGAAATCAATTCAAGTAATTAAGAGAGTAACATGGAAAAGTCAAAAAATTAAGAGTACAAAGTGAGGTTGAAATCATAACTGAGGGAGTTTTTTTTTTTGTTTTTTTTGAACCAATAATTGAGGGAGTTAAAGTTGTGTAGATTTCTCTAATTTAATAAGTAGGTTGACACCATTTGGCTATGTCTAATACAAATTTGGCTCCATACGAATTTACATGATTTATATATGATATGAACTCAACAGGACACGCGCCAATTGTACTTGAATATAAATAAATTGGGGTGTAAACAATAACACGATATGAACTCAATATTACCTTACCAAATGCCCAACTAATGTTAGCTAATGCTGATTGATGTATTTAAAGTAGATTTTAATGCAAGGCCTTCTACTAAACGAGGCCTAATTTCATGGATATTGGCGACGCTGTGAGGTCTTGAGAGAGTTAGATATATATATTCTTATTGCATTCTCAACTATAAAGATAAACACATTCTTGGATCTTTTTGAATATTTCCAATGAGGATGTTCTAGAAATTTGGCAACTGTATTAATTTCGCTAAGTTTGGATATGATCTTTCTTTTGGAGTGTTTGTCTTGTTTTGTAGGTAAATAGGGTGAATTAAAGATTAATAGAAAACCATATGAGGAGAAGAAGAGGATCAAAACACAAGAGACGAGGGACATTTTGGAATCCGTGTCTGGACAAAAGAAGAGTTGCGTCCAGATGGATGTTCTAGAAATGGCCAAGAGAGACACGAGGATTCTAAAGTCTATAGAGGGAAGCACTGTCAGTTGTGTCCAGACGGCAATGTCTGTGCATACGGACGCGTGTTCGTAAACTGCCCAAGTCTTTGTGCTTTGCCCTGTGATCTAGTTTGTTGCTCCATTACCTATAAATAGGGAGATAGTTTTACAATGGAGGCACCTTTTTGCCTTCTAGTTTTCTGCTTTACTTCTTTATTGTATTTCAATTATGTCTAGCTAAAAGCCCAATTACTTTTTTATTGTATTTCAATTATGTCTAGCTAAAAGCCCAACTAAGGCTAGGGGAGAAGCTTTCAATGAAATACAATATTATTTTTAATCCAATGTTTTAATTGATTTATATAATTTATTGATTTGGTGTGCCACGTACATCAAATACTTGAGATTTCCTATGAGTCAAATAACTGGTTATTTTATGCTTGAGTTAATTAATTGAATTTTTATAAGATAGTTGATTTATTATTTGCCATAAATCTAAGGTTTACCTGCTGGAAAGCTTGATTTATTATAGACTCTAGCATGAAGAATACTTGTAACCTGCATGTGAATTCATAGATTTATTCGGATAGTTTATTAGTTATAACTTTTGAAGTTTCATACTATCACTGCTAAATATTCCGGCTGGAATCACTCCTCAACTGATTTTCAACTAAGTTCAAAAATTGGATCATAAATAATTGTCATGTGCATTTGAAAGGGTATCCCCGATACTTTATTATTTTAATTATTGTTTTAAACAATCAATCCCTGTTTTGTTAAAACAAACTTCCAGTCAAACAACTTCCAAACAATCTTCTTTTATTTTTCTTGTGTTACATGTTTTCACAATTCCCTGTAGTTCGACCTTAGATTTCCGAGTATATATTACTTCGTGACAACCTGTACTTGAGTGATCCATATTTAAAGTTGTAGCAATAGACATCCGGGTACTTGAAGCTTTGTAATATGCCATTATTGAGCTTGTTATAAGCAAATTACAACACTACCCCAAAAGATTTAGTGGAAAAAATGATGCGATTTACTTTAATTTTCACCTTAAACTTCTATTTTTCAGTTCTTTTGTTTGTTTAAACCATGTAATTAGACAGTAAAGACCGATTACCTTCAAATTTTTAAAAATAAATTAAGATAATTGAAAGGTCGTAATGTATTATAAAGCTAGTTGTATAATATATACACATATTTTTAATATTCAAAAAAATATCACTCTTATAATCGAGAATCAACTATAACAACTTTCGAATAACACATCTATTAGAGAGGATGTAGCAACAACATTCCTAAATGAGCACCACACTTAAATTTCTTTCCTCAATTCTTAATTAGTTGCTAATTGAGTATTAATGTCGCTAGCCAAAGTTAGATTTACTTTTAATGGTAAATAGTCAAACATTAATGAATGCCATATTTTCCTCTCTTTGCAGGACAACAATTGCACACGGAAGTCGAAATTTAGGGATTTTGATCTCCTCTAATACTTTTTTTTTTTGGCAATTTATCTCAATGATATATTAACATTCAAAAATTCAATAATGACCCACTATGTATGAATAGATCTCTTGCTAATACACAACACGTAAATTATCATTAATTGAAATTAGAGAAAATGCATTGAGCAGAATCTCAATCTGAGATTTAGTGCCATAAATATCAACATAAAGGACATCACTTTAGAGATACATAAATCCTTTACATGTACCCTCAACTCCTCCTGTGCTCATCATCTCCTATTTTCCTTAACACAGAGAAAGCCTTTAATTTCTTTCTTTTCTGTTCTCTAAGCATGGAGGGAAAGCAAACCCAAGGTCGAAAGAAGATTGAAATGAAGATGATCAAGAATGAAAATTCAAGAAGGATCACCTTCTCCAAGCGTCGAACCGGGCTATTCAAGAAGGCAAGTGAGCTTTCTACTCTCTGTGGAGTAGAAATCGCCATTATTGTCTTCTCCTTAGGAGGCAAGGCCTTCTCTTTTGGCCATCCAAGCGTTGGTACTGTCATTAACCGGTTTCTCAGTGAAAACCACCACCCAACTGAGCAGACCACTAGGCATCTAGGGACTCACCGCGAGGCTAGACTTCAGGATCTCAATCAGCAGTTCAACAAGCTGAGCAAACAGTTGGAAGTGAAGAAAAAGAAAGGGAAAATGTTACGGAAGAGTACTGCAGAATCTAAGTGCCAAAGCTTTGAAAAGTATATTAATGGGCTTGGGCTGCATGAGCTTGAAAAACTAAAAGGAATGATGGAAAAGCTTAAGGAAAATGTGGTTAGAAAGGTTAATGAGCTTCACTCAGAGGCTCCTCCTAGAGATTTCAAAGCAGTGGGTCTGTTGAATGTTTGGGAAAATGGGACTGACAATGATCATCCCATTCCAAAGGATTGGTTGAGTTTGTGAGCAATTAAACTATTTTGAATAAAACAATGATAATATATGGTATGTTTTTGGTAGTACTGGTTACTTTCTTTCTTTGGTCTATGATCTATGGAATTTGCAAAAGAGTTACTAAGATTACTCTATAATCTTTGTTAATTAATTTTCAGTAGTATTAGGGTTTTTTTTCTTTTGTTAATCGAGAATGGTCTCAATTGCAGGCTCTTTGAACTTTTGAGTGCAACTTGAACTCGATCCGGATGCATAGGATCACTAGCGAACCATGCACATTGGATCAACTAAGATATTTATTGTGAAACTCGAATTAGCAACTTCAGGGTAGTTAATCAATAGTGTCTTCCCATTCAAGTTGCAGTGTTGGGTTTATATTTTCATTTTAATGTTAAGCGAGGATGATGGAATTCGAATGATGGCGTCCACTTCTTATTCGTAATATTAGAATGACATTATCTTTTGTACATGTGAGGCTAAAGTCCAATTATTGCCGGTAGATGTGAAAATTTTGCAAGATGGCTGTAGTTTGTTTGTTTTTTTTTTTTTTTTCTTTTTTGGATCAATTTTACATGAGAAGGGAGAAACTAGGATCGAACCCTGAACTACAGTGGGGCATTGGCCACTAGACCAACCACAGGTCCTCAATGACCATTGTTTCTGAACTGGTCTTTTGTTATAGTCCTTTAAACTGCAAACAATATTTATTGTTGTAATCTCGGGAAAGGGCCTCTTAGATTTTGTAAATCTGAAGCAGATGCACTTTAATTTCCAAATAACTCTTCACTTTAAGTGCAATTGAATGTCCTTCAAATTGCGGTTTATTTGACAAGCTAAATGAGATTGAAAAATCATTTTTGGGGAACACGTAAGAGAGATGTACTCTATGCTTGGGACACAAAACAAAACATACCACGTATTAATCATTGTTGCATCAAAATTTACTCAATCTATAATCAACTCATCTATAACCATATATAATTCGATTCATGTCATGTACAAATTTTATGAAATCCTAAACAATTAGGCTTGTATCATATATATTAGGGTTCATGATGACATTTATAAACCAGTTTGCTTAAGTGGGCTCCAAATATGTCCTGTTAAAGCTAAAAGCATATCTAATGACTTCTAATTTCGTGTGAGATTAACAAATTATGTTTTAAAGAAAATTAAGATAAAGGGCATGCACCTACTATAACTGTTTTTGGATGATCATTCCTTTTAATTTGGATGAAATGCCCCAATTTTAGAGTTCGATGAAAAACTAGAAATTTAAAACTTAAGAATTTTACATAATTGAACTTGTACTAGAGAGTCCCAATTAGCTCGTTTTCATTCCGTTTGCTGCGAAAATAGATGGAAATCCACAACTCGAATATAGAAACTTTTAGGAAAAGACAGAATCTCAATCTGAACCTTGATTTAGAGTTTGACGCAAAAGTTGAAACGTAGGAGTTTTGTCCAACCCTTTCTCATTTCGTTTGACCTAAAAACAAATGAAGATCTAAAATTCAAATATAAAAACTTGTTGAAAAAGACGGCATCTTAAATCGAGCTCCTATTGGGGAGTTCTAAGATTTCAAAACCTTGAGCTTGCACCTATGGCTCCCGATCAACCCATTTTTGCTCGGTTTGTTGTGAAAATAGACGGAGACTCAAAATTCGGTTATAAAAACTTGGAAAAAGAGACATCTTGATCTAAGCCCCGGTTGGGGGGTTTGACCAAAAACTAAAAATGAAAATTTAAGAAAATTTCAAACCTTGAACTTGGACCTAAGGATGCTGATGGTCCTGTTTTTAGTCCATTTATCATAAAAATAAACGAAGATCCACAACTCGAATATGAAAACTTGAAGGAAAATAGGGTGTTTAGATCCAAGCACCGTTTGGGGAGTTTGTTAGAAAACTACAAACATAAAAATTTGACAATCTCAAAACCTTAAACCTAGACCTAAGGTTCTCAATCAATCAGTTTTTGCTCCATTTGTCGTGAAAATGGACGGTGACCCACAACTCGGATATAGAAACTAACAAACAAATATTAAATCTCAATTTGAGTGCCGATTGGGGAGTTTGACAAAAAAATTGAAAGCGTCAAAATTATGAATTTCACAACGTTGAACTTGCACCTAAGGGTTCTGATCAATCAATTTTTGCTTTGATTTTTAATGAAAACCGACTGAGACCCACAACTCAAATATAGAAACTTGTTAGAAAGGAAGGTGCCTCAATCCGAATCCCATTTTTGGAGTTTGAAAAGAAACTAGGAATGTAAAAACTTATGATTATTTTTTCCTTTTTTTAAGATATATGCTGCAAGAACAGGTCTGGGAAAGACTCACTAGCTGCTGATATTGATATTGGGGTAAGCATTTATATGCTAGTCAATTTTCTGGCAGAGTAATAGATGCATATTAATGTTTAATACAATGTAATGAAAAAGGAATATGTGCTACACATATAGATTTTTTTTTTTTCAAAAACTATATTTTCAGGTTGGTACCGAAGTAGACTTGCTCAGTTCCCAATTCCCTAAGAGAAATAGTGGCTAAGGGGATTATTGTTGGATGGACCCATCGGACAAAGCAGAGTGATAGATATTGAGACTATATGTCTAAAACGTCTATGTGGAGAAAGTGATAAAATTTGAGGCGTGTTTGGCTAAATTGCTAAGGGTGGGGCTATTTTCACCCTACAAATCTCCATTCCAACTCCATTTATTTCTCATTATCAAACTAATAAGCTTATCCCTTCTATACCCACCCCATTAGTAATTAAGTTCACTCATTCTATGTACACCCCTTTAATGAAAGAAATTATCGTAAGAAAAAAATAATGAAAGAAAACAATTAGTTTGAATGTATAAATATATTTATGAAACAAGAAAAAAAAAGAATCAAGCAAAACTGAAACTAGAAAAAAAAAACTAAGCATGCTGAAATAAGAAAAAAGAAAATAACAAAACAAGAAAAAAAAAAGTAAAGAAAGAAAGAAACTGAAACAAGAAAAAAGAAAGAACGAAATAAGAAAAAAACATAAAGAAAGAAGCAAATCGAAGCAAGATGAGAAAAAAAACCAAGAAAAGATTAAAGGAATAAACAAAAATACAAGACGCAAAACCGAATATGAAAAAAAATAAGCATCAAACACATACACAAAATTGAACAAGAAAAAAAAAATAACAAACATAACTGCAAAATCTTAACAAGATAAAAAAGAATAAATAATTTGAAAACATACATTTATACATACATATAAATTTTAAATAAAAAATTATTAAACTTGATAGGTATATCAAAACATGCCAAAAATAATAAAAATTCATATAACAAATATGAAATCAAACATATAATCAAATTGAGAAGTAATACTAACATGTATCTCACTGAAAAAATTCATATTAAAAAAGTATTTTTGCGAGTTGATGAGATAAAATAAGAGAATGAAACCCTACTTATGACAAAATATAAAGTGAGTTTACTTATTAATAGAGATGTACGTAGCATGAAGTTGACTTAGTTACTAATGGAGTGAATATAAAAGAGATGAATTTAATAGTTTGATACTTGAAAAATTAAATGATATGTGAATGAAAATTTGTGGAGCGAGAATAGTCCCACCCAATTGCTAAAAGGCAGACCCACTGTTAGGCAGACAATTGTTCTTCTAGGACATCTATTAATGTATGGTGCATATTAATTTCGTCATTGTTACTTTTGTAGTTTTCTGTAATTTATTTCATAAATAACATAATAGAAACAAATTTTTTTTGCAAGTGTTGGGAAAGAGTAGATGTTGCTCGTGCCATCCTTCGTTTATGTTTTTGAACTAAGACTACATAAATACTATTTAACAACTTCGTAGATGTTGGACTTGTGATAACTAAATTTGGATGTTTATTGTAATTGTAATATGTTTATGTTTAGTATTTAATTTTTGGATTAGAATAATTTGTGTGTGGTAGTTGAAGTCTACAAGAGATCCAGGAGATACATACGAATATACAGGGGATTGTTATGAAGGTATAGGACAAGTCTAATAATAATTAAATTTTGTATTGTAAAAACATAAAAAAAAAAAAATAGAGTATTTGCATTGGCACTGTTGCTGAAGCAAAAAAGATTATTTGTGTTGACATTCTTACAAAGGAAAAAAAAAAGTATTTGTATTAGCAAAAATTGCTACAACAGAACAAGATTATATGCGCCGACATTTTGTTGATGCAAAAAAAAAAAAAAAAAAAATGCCAACTCAAAAAATAATTATTTGTGTTGGCAAAAATGCCCAAGCAAACCCCTTTTTATTTATTCATTTAGGAGTAGACTATGGTACAACCATAGGATTTTTCGGTACCATGCCAAAAAATCAATGTTAGTCGTTAATAGATTTGATCAAGTTGTCCTTTTATTTTTATATTTTTCAATGTGAAAATCAGTCACCTCCTAAATAAGTTTTGGTTAAAAAATTATATATTTTACAGTACAATAGTACAACATAATTAACTATATATTTTATAGTATAATAGTACAACATAATTAATTTTGTTAGATAGTACAAGTCATATTAATACAATTCAACATTTATACCACAATATTAGTTAGAGTTGTAACAATTAAAATCATATTTACAACATCTATGGGTAATGATACTACAATTAGGATACAATTACCAATACTTTGGGTACATTTAAAGGCCACATTACAAAGTTTGTGGGTTAATTTATGACAAAAATGTGTTAAAATTATAACAGTGGACAAATTTACAACAATTTTGGTAAAATTATAATAATTAAGGGTACATTTACTATAGTTTAGAATTAAGTCAAAATAATATTGGACAAAATTACAAGAGTGTAGGTCAAACTTGCTACTGTATTGGTTAAAATTACGATATATATGATTATTATTATAAACTTAACTTAAAGGTGAAATGTACATCAATAGTGGTATCCTTACCCTAAATGATGGTAAATTCGCTCTAAATATTAATAACATCACTCAAAATCATCG